CTTTTTTTTTTTTTTTTATTACAAAAAAAATAAATGAAAAAAATAAAAAAAAATAAATTTTAAATCATGTTTATGATATTTTATGAAGTTTAATAAATGAACGCAAAAAACAGTTTTAAAAAAAAAAAAAAAAAAAAAAAAAAAAAATTGTTATATAATAATTTTTTTTTTTTTTAATTTTTTGGGTAATATATTTATTATTGAACAGGATGCTAAAAATATATTAGAAATTTTAGGAAAATACATGTTATATAAGTTTGCAAAAAATAATTTTAATGACTGTAATAATTTAAATAATGATGATAACAAAATATTTATATATTTAATCTTTTTTGTTTTACAGACAATTATGAATTGTAACTTATGAATGATTTATTTTATATTTAATCTTATTTTACATATAAAAAAAAAAAAAAAAGAAAAAAAAAAGAAAGCATAATAAAACACTAGTTTATTTTATTTTATTTTTTTTTTTTTACAGTGTAATAAATTTCGAGCCGAAAATAATTTAAAAAAATAATTGAAAGGAATATAAAAATACAATTTTATTATTTATTATTTTCTTTTTTATATATTTTATTTATTTATTTTTAATTATATAATGAATATATATAAATATGATGAATTATGTCCATATGTGTTAACTAATGAAAGAAACTGTGGATTCTTTCGTCCCTTTTTAGAATATGAACTCAACAAGATAAGAAATTACAATGAACAAATTTTTAGAACTATAATTATTGAAGCATTAATTGAACAAGTTAAACATTTAAAAAAATTAGAATTAATAAAACAAATCAACTATTTTAAAAACACAAATATTTGTAACAATGAACAAAATATAGAAAAGATAGAAATGAAAAATGATGCTACTTTTTACCAACCACTAAATAATATAGAATATGAAAATATAAAGAAAAAGAAAAGGGAACTAAAAAATATAGATTATAATAATAATTATGAAATAAAAAAAAAAAGCGGTTTTGGAAAATTAAAAGATATGGATGATATATATGAGAAAGAAAAAAAAAGAAAAAAGAAGAAAAAGAATAGAATAGAAAAAAAAAAAAATATTACAATAAATAATAATCTAAGAAATTATCCTATTAAAGTACAAAAAAAAATTGAAAGCATCTATAATTATAGTATAAATTATTTTATATATAAAAAAATTCATAATTATAGAAATAAACAAAATTTTATTGATAAATTAAAATATATTATAAGAGAAAAATATACATTAATTATTGAAAAATGTAAAAATGAAACTCAAAAAATAGTCAAAGGAACGTTTCTTTTATTATACAATTATATTAGTTTAATAGAAAAAAATACTATGAATATTTTATATAATGTATCTAGTGAATTAAAACAAAATGAAGAAGAAAAATTAAACCTTTTACTGAAAATCGCGAATAATATTCATTTTTATTTAAGAATAGAAGAAAAAGAGAAGTTCTATTTAAATTGTAATTCACCTTTTAATAATTTAAAGAATATTATTTCTAAAGAATTTATCAATATAAAAAATAATAAGTATGGAAACAAAATAAAATTTTTTCATGATATATTTTTAAAAATTGTTATTAATTTTGTAAGTTTGTTAAATAATTATTTCAAAATGAATAAGAAATATAAAAAAAAAAAGACGATAAATGAAGTATTAAACAATATTTCAGATTTCTTATATAAAAAATATTCTTTTTATCATAAAATTATGAAATCAAACAATGTCATATCAGTGAATAAAATTATTTTGTCAAGTATTATGTGTGATGATATTTACGTTAGTATATTTATAATTAAAGTAATTAATTTAAATGAATGTTTAAACGGAATGAACGAAGAAAATAGTGTTATTAATTATTGTATTGAATTAAATCATGAAGTCATGAAAAAACAAAATTCAAAGAGTGATTACCAAACTAATTTTAATAATGTTTGTGATAGTAAAAAGAACATAAATATGTTAGTACATAATAATATTACTCAATATCATTATATTCTTAGAAAATATAATATTGATTATAAGTTAGAATATGAATTGCCTTATGTTAATTGCAACCTTAATAAAAACATAAAAGTGTATATTCTTTTAACCAAAATTAATAAAAACAAAGAATATACTAAAATAAAAAAATATAAATATACGAAAATGAATAGAAAAAATTCATTAGGTGTACTTATTTTAAACAAACAATTAAAAAATAAAAATAAAATTTATAATTTTTATTCTTATAGAAATCCTTATATAAAAATGAAAAATCGTTTTAACAGTTTGTTTGTAATTATAAAAAAAAATTTATGTTTCCCTTTTAAATGGAATTATAAATATCATAATCCCAAATTTGTATTTATTAGTATATTTAAAAATAATATTAAAAAAAATAGTATATATTTACATTATTCAAAAAAAAACGATAAAAAGGGAGCCTTATTTGTTTTTATAAATAAAAAAGAAATTTTTTATTCTGATAGAATTAGTGAGAATATAAAAGACATATCATTTTTTAATAATAATAAAAAAAAGAAATCAAAAAAAAATACTTTTTTTGAAAAAAAATATATATTCTCTTACTTAATTAATGATTTAAATTACATTGATAAAGTATGCATAAAAAAATGTTTTAAGGATATTAAATTGTATTGTAATAGTAATGGAAGTAATAATTATAACAATTATTCTAATAATTATCCAAATAATAATTATAACAGTAGTAATAACAACAATTATAACAACAATAATTATGATAATAGTAATAATAGTAATAATAATAGTGGGAATAGTAATAATAATGGTAATGATGATAACAATGATGATAATAATAATAATAATAATAATAACAATAATAATAATAAAGATATTTACAATGATGAAGAAGATAATGAAGATGATAAAAACAATAACAGTAATAATTACAGCAATATTAACAAACACACATTAAATGAAAACATTAAAAATGAAAATATTGATAAGAGTAAAAATATGAATAGTAAAAATAGTTCTATTATGCAAGATATGAAAATTGATGATATGAACATGTATACCAATGATGAAAATATTATGATGAATAATTATGTTGATAAAGTTATAAATAGTAATGAAAGTATGTATAATATTGATAGTATTCATAAAAATGATAATATTTTTAATAATGAAGAGAATAAATTAGTAGGTATTAATAAAAATATTGCAACCAATATTAATAGTAAAACTGGTACAGATATGAACTATAATATGAATTTTATGAATTACTTGAATAATCAAAATTCACAAAACAATTTGAATATGATACCAGGGATGAATAGAATTAATAACATACCTCTTAATCAAATAATGAATTTTCAAAATGTATTTATGGGTAATATGCCAAATCAATATAATCAAAATATGCATTATGAAGCTTTAGATAATATGCAAGACATGAAGCAACAATCACAATTAATTAAACAAAAGCCAAATCAATATGTACCAACACAAAATCAACCTGAAAATAAAATAAATACTCAACATTGTTTGCCATCCAACTTTTTACAAAATCAGATTCATCAACAATTTCAAATACAGCAACAAATGCATTTACAGCATTTAATTCATCAACAAAACTTACATCAATTAAGTATGATGCAACAAAATAATCAACAAAAATTCACAAATCAACAAAATATTCCTAATCAGTCAAATGTTTCTTTATTAAAAGTGCCACAAATTTTATCTTTAAATTCAGTTGACCAAAGAAATTCGCAGATTTCACAAAAATTACAAAGGCATTCAATGAATGCAATCGATCAATGTAATACTCAAAGAAACACTAACTCAAATATACAAACTTTAAATAATTCATCGAATCATTTTAATTCAATACCTCTAAAATTTCCATATAAAAATAATGCGCAACAGATGAATAATATAGTGCAGCAAAACAAACCTCAAAATTTGCCAAATCAACACAACTTGCAAAGTCAGAATAATTTACAACATAATTTAAATAATAAACAGAGTGTGCAGCATATAATTCCAAATCAACAAAATATGCAACATATTTTACAGAATCAACAAAACGTGCAACACTTATTATCAAACCAACAGAACATGCAGCACATATTACCGAATCAACAAAATGTACAACATATGTTACCAAATAAGCAAAATACTCAACAATTATTACCGCAAAATCAGCAAAATGTACAACAAATATTGCCAAATCAGCAAAATGTACAACAATTATTGCAACATCAGCAAAATGTGCAACAGTTGATTCCAAACCAGAAAAACGTTAACACAACATCAATATCAGGACAACTTCATAGGCAATCTAATCAACCATCATCACAAGTAACGTTAAATCAGCAAAATATGCAGCAGCTTATTCCTAACTCCCCTATGCATATGTATCAGCAACAGTCTTCATTTTTGCCAAGAGTATCATCAACTCCTCAACATATCTCACATCAGCAGATTCCATATGATTGGATACCTAATCCTTATATGCATCAGCAATATATGCTTCAACAATGCCAGATAACACCACAGCAATTATTCATTCAACAACAAAAGCAACAAAATATATTACATCAGCAACATCAATCACAAAATATTCAACAACCAAGTACATTGCAACAACAACAACAACAGCAACAGGGAATATCACATATGCAATTACAACAGCAGAAACAAACGATGTCACAAATGCAACAACAAAATTTATCACAATTTCAACAAAATATATCACTTCAACAACAGCAAATGCAAAATATTGTTTCTCAACAACAAATTCAAAATTTATCGCAGTTACAACATCAAATACATAATGCATCATCACAACAAACAAATATTCCAATAAAACAGAATATTTCGCAACAATTTTCTCCAATATTTAAGGATAGCATAATACAAGGAAATAATAATTATGAAATGTTAGAAAATATGAATGATTTACATAGAATGAATGTACCAATGAAAGGTAATTTAGAAATATGCAACACATCAATGGAAGGTATAATTGAAGAAGATATTTTCGATAGCAATTATCATTGTGATATTTGTAACAAAGATATAACTCATACTATTCGCATAAGATGTGCAGAATGTGTTGATTTTGATTTATGTGTTAACTGCTTTAGTAGTGGAAAAGAAATGAAATCAGATAAATGTGAACATTATAATTATCATAATTATATTCCTATACCAAAATACGATTTTCCTTTGTATAAATTGAATTGGAGTGCTGAAGAAGAGTTATTATTATTAGATGGAATAAGTAAATATGGTTTTGGAAATTGGGAGCAAGTTGCAGATTTAGTAAATTCTGTTGCAAAAATTACAAAAAGTGATAAAGAATGTGAAAATCATTATTACAATTATTATTTAAGGTCCAATTGTGCACCTTTACCTGACAACAAAAGATTATTAATAAAACCAGATGGTAATCCATATGAAATTGAACAAGTCATAGAAAAGGATATTAATGAAAACGAAGAATATGTTCTACCCAAATCAAAAAAGAATAATAGAACTCAAATTGTTGGATATTGGCCACTAAGAGGAGATTTTGATATTGAATATGATAATGATGCAGAATTATTATTAGCTGATATGGAATTTAAAGATTCTGACTTACCTCAGCAAAAGGAATTAAAATTACAAGTTTTGGAAATATATAATTCAAAATTAGATGAGAGAATATACAGAAAAAGAACTGTTATAGAAAGAGGTTTATTGGATACGAAAGCACAACTTCAAAAAGAAAAAAAAAGAACCAAAGAAGAAAAAGAATTATATGCTGCCTTAAAACCATTGTCAAGATTTCATTCACCTCAACATCATGAATATTTCATACAATTATTACTAGAAGAGCAAAAACTTCGTCAAAGATTAACAAAATTACAAGAATGGAAAGCATTAGGTCTTCAAAACATAGAACAAGTTCAAGAATATGAGATAGAAAAAAACAGAAGAGCTAAAGAAAAAATAAAACAGGAAAATAGTGAAAAAATAACAAAAAATTTTAAAATTTCTAAAAAAGAAAAAGAATATAAATTAAAACATAAAGATGATGAAACAGAAGATAATAAAAAATTAAATATAGAAACCTTTCTAGCACTAGACCTATTAAATGAAAAAGAAGTAGAATTTTGCAAAAATATGAAGCTTCCTATTTTATTCTTTTTGTTAATCAAAAGATTATTAATAATGGAAATAAGTAATAGCAATTTAAACATGCTGAAAGACATAAATGAGTTGAAATTAAAGGGATATAAAGTGGGTCAGTTATATGATTTTTTTTTAAGTTTTGACATAAATCAAAAGGAAGATTCTATGACTAATGCAAACATGAAGAGTTTAAACTTAAAAAAAAATGATGAAAAAAAAAGAAAAATGAAAAATTTTGATTTTAGCAATTTTAAAAATTTTAATAAAATGGAAAAAATGGAAGTGACTGATAAAAATAACTACTTTTTAATGGATAATTTATGCAATGATAATGAAGAAGATAAAAAATCTAAAATGAAAAATGAAGAAAAAGTAAAAAATATTTATACATCAAATGATAATTCTAAATTTGATAATAACATGAATATTGTTAATAATAATATGGATAATACTCAGAATCAAACTAATGATGTGAATACTCATGTAGAAGAAAAATTAGATTCTGATAATTTGAATAATAATAAATTGAGCAATAATAATGATATGTTATCTAATGAAAAACAAGGATACAATGAAAATGAAGAAAATGGTGAACTATATTTTAAAGAAAAAGATCAAAATGGAGATAACGTAAACGAAATGAAAGATAAAAAACATAAAGAAAAGAAATTAAAAAAAAAGAAAGAAGAAAAAAGAAATTCTTTAGTAGAAAAAGATATTGACAACTATAATATAATAGGAGAATATGAAGAGAATCAGGAATATTTATTATATCCAAAAAAAAAAGGTTCTTTCAAAAAAAAGGAAAATAATAATGAAGAAGAAAAAGGAGAAAAAAATGAAAAAGAAAATATTGAAAATTACAGAAACGATGGAAATAGTATGGAAGAAAATGAATATAAAAAAGAGCAAGATGAGCAACAAGACCATGAAAAGAATGAACAAGAGTTTGATGATGGTAATGATGAAAATTTATATGATGATGAAGAGGAAGATGAAGAGTTGGATGAGGAGGAAGAGTTGGAAGAGGAAGATGATGCAGAGGAAGAAGATGAGGAAAAAGAAGAAGAAGATATGGATGAAATTGGAGAGGATGGAAAAGATGAAAATGAAAATAAAAAAAAGAAAGAAAAAAAGAAGAAAATTCAGGAATTAGAAGAAAAGGATTGTAATAATATGAAAATAATTCTTAATGAGGGTAATGGTAGTAACCCCAATTTAAAAAATATAAATTATTTAAAAAAAAAATCAAATGAAAAAAATAAAGAAATTTTAAATTTAAAAAATATTCAGAATAAAAAAAAAACAATTGATTCCTTGGAGGAAGAACGAGAAGAAAAAGAAGAAGAAACTTCTAATACTATAAATAACGCAGATAATATATATGGAAAGGCAAAGAAGTCTTTTGAAAAAAATGATACAAACAGTGAAAATTTTGAATGCGATTTAAAAAAAAAAAAAAATAAGATGAAAAAAAATAATGAATACGATGTAAGTAGAAATGAATCAAAAAATAGTAACATGGAATTAGATAATAACAGTTTTGTAGAAGAATATGATTCAAGTATTGAATTTAATGAAAAATTACAAAAAAATAAAAAACTAATTACTGCATCATCATCACCTTTGAATTTAAATAAAAATGAGAAAAGTAAACGATATCGAATGAAAAACGAAAAATTAAATACTGATGTAGCATCAAGTATAGACACAAAAGAAAATGAAAAAAAAATTAAAAGTTTTGATGTAAATTTAAAAAAAAAATCAAAAAAAAGAAAGGGTTCTATGAGTTTAATTTTGAATTCTAAAAAGTCATTAAAATTATAATTTATATCCATATATATATATATATATATGTAAAAGGGAAAATTGCTTTAAATTTAAAAGGATGTAAAAGTCAATATAAAAAATGAAAAAAATATACTGGTTAATAATTTTCATTAAGTTGGCACATTTTGAATATATATTAAAACTAAATTTTAATTGTTTTATATTCTTTCATTGAAAGTGATGCTACTTATTTGTTTTTTTTTTTTTTTTTTTTTTTTATTTAAAGCTTTGTTTATTTTATTTTATTATATGGTTTTAATATTTTACTTTTTTTTTTTTTTTTTTATTTTTTTCTTTCAATTTTATTATTTCTTCTTTTGTATATATATATATTATATACATTTTATTCTTATTATGTAGGTAGTGTGAAATAATTTAATTATGAAATGCTTAAAAAAGTAAAGTGAAAAAAAGTTTAAATCTTCAATTTTATTTATTTTTTCATGTAATTTTTGTTGTATAAAAATGTTGAAATTTTTTGAAATAACTTGATTATTATTGCAATTGTTTATAAAATTTCTTTTTTCTATTTTTTTTTTTTTTTTTTCATTTTTCTTGTACTTTCAATATTTTTAAAAACAAGGCTATGTTTTTTAATTTAAACAAAAATACATAAATTTTATGTTACTTTTTAAAAAAAAAAAAAAAGTGTTTAATTCAAATGTTATTTTTTTACTAAAAATATTTAATAAAAAAAAAAAAAAAAAAAAAAAAAAAGAAAAAAGAATAAGGTATTGTAAAGTTAAAAAAATTAATAAAAATAAAATATATTGATAAAGATTTATGATGAAAAAAAAAAAAAAAAAAACTACAAAAAATAAGCTTAATTTTTATAAAAAAAGTAATACATAAAGGAAATATAAAATGAAAAAAATTAAAATTAAAAAACATAAATATTATGTATTAAAAAAAAAATATTTAAAAGTTAAGTACAACAATTGTTTTAATTTTATAACAACAATTAACCTTACTACATGTACACATATCAAATGTATTCGTTCCATTTTCAACGAAATTTGATACTTTGTTATTTTTATTAGAAAAACAACAAAATTCTTTTATGTATATGAATAAAAAATAAAAAAATCTATTAAATAAAAAATTAACATCTTCTAATGATAATATATTGGAAAACTTAGTTTTTAACACTTTTGAATAATTATCATTTAATTCGTTCTTAAAGGTAAAGTTAAAACCAATACCCGATATTTTCCTTATTCCTATTAAATGATATGTATGATACAAACAATTATTCATTTTTATTAATTTTTTTTTTTTACTACCAAAAGAATAGTTCACATTATTAAACAAATTGAATAAAAATTTATTAAAATTATTTCTATAAATTACTGTCTCTAAATATTTGTATTCTTTCATCATCTTAATATTATAAATATTATCAAAAAAGTTGAATGATTCTTTTTTTAAATAATTATATTCATTAAAACTTTCATGTAATACGTCATAATGATATAAGGTTGTTTTTATTTTCTTTTTATCCCTTCCCTTTTTAATATTACTATTTTTTATTAAATCTTTTACACATGTCTTTATATTTTTTTCTTTCACACAATTATTATACTTATCATTATTATTTGAATATGTGAAGCAGTTGTTCTCATTTGAATCTTCTATATCATTAATTTTATTAGCATTATTTGAACCATCACTTTCAGTCAATTCTGTGATATTTTTTAAAATAATTTTCTTGTCTTTTAAAAACTCCCTGAAGTTATCCTTGTATAATTTAGAATTTTGAAAATTCTCAATATAATAAATTTGTTCACAAAAAAAATATTTTTCCAAGTTATATTTTTTTCTATTAGTTTCTTTGAGTTTTCTAGAAATTTTTTTTTTTAAAAAAATATTAATATTTTCTATTTCTTCATTACATTCCCATAAAATGTGCTTTGAATATTTTCTACAAGTAATAAAACGATGCAAATTACTTAAACTAAAAAAACTTAAAGAATAGCAGTTATATATTATACTTTTTAAAATATTAAAAAATAAAAATTGAACAACTATTTTTATATTATAATAGCACACAATTTCCATATTTGTATCATTTATTGTTGACATATTTATTTTCTTTAAAACGTTTATATATCTAAAAAAATCCAATGGAATATCTTCATATTTCATTGTATTGTATTCTTTTAAAAAAAATGCAAAATTGCAATTCTCTAAATTTTTTATATCCTTTAAACTTTCTAGATCAATTTGATTTGTTAATTCCAATTTATTTACAAATAATTTCATGTTATTATTGTTATTTAATTTATTATAGATATTATAATTCTCACCATCTATAATATTACTACATATATTATTAGTATGAATTTTCTGTGTACTTTCAGATTTATTAACACTATTATTGTTATTATTAATAGTTTTAATCTTTTCACAATTAAAAAAATCAATATAATTATTACCATTACTATTATTATTATTATTATTAGTAGTAGTAGTAGTAGTAGTAATAGTTATATCATTATTATTATTATTATTATTATTATTATTATTATTATTAGTAGTAGTAGTAGTAGTAGTAGTAGTAATAATAGTAATATCATTATTATTATTATTATTATCATTAACATTATTAGTAGTAGTAGTAATATCTTTATTATTATTATTATTATTTTCAATATCATTAAAAATATTGTTAGGATTAACACTAGTAGTTATAGTATCATTATCAATATTATTAGTAGTAGTAGTAATAGTAATATCATTATTATTATTATTATTATTATTATTATTGTTATAATTATTATCATAACTTGTATCAACATTCATGTTTTTATGAAGGAAAATATTAAGTGTTTTTTCTTCATTTTTATTTATTTTTATTACATTAGATGTTTTTTCACAATGAATATTCTTCATTTTCAAATTGTCAATTATTTTATGAATCTGATGAGAATCATTGAGATCGATATCTTCACTATTTAGTAAACCATATGATAATAATTTAGTTATATAAGAATTAATATTGCTTAAATCTATATCATAAGTTTCATTAAAATTATACTCATAAAAAATTTTTTTTTCTTCTTCTGTCATATAGTTCTTAATTAAATTTTTTATTTGCTTTTTTAAATATATAAAATCATGATTTTGAGAAATTATTTGTTGAATATTTTTATAAATACATTCCGATCGAAACAAAAAATTGTAGTCAACTATAATATCAGATATGCTAAGAAATTTTTCTTGAATACTTGAAAACAATTTACCTAAACATATTTGAAGTTGTTTTAAGGAAAATATGAAATTATTTTTATTCATTAATTTATATTTTGTTATAAGATAAAATAAATACATTTGTAGTAATATATAATTACTAAAAATTACTTGTATAAATAAAAGTATTTTTTTATGTGAATTTATATTTATTCCTAAGAATTCATTAACTGTATTTAAAAAAAAATTTAACACTTCCTTCTTTTTTGATATTATTGAACTTTGCGTGACATTTAAACAATAGCATATAAATTGATCTTTTATTTTTATATTAAATATATTAAAAGTTATAATAATAGATGAGCAAAGAAAATAATGTAGATTCCCACCAGCACATCTACTTTTTTTATTATGTACATTCATATCCATATTTTCTCTTTTATTCCATAACACGTAAAAATAATATAAAACACAAGAATATAAAGAAAGTAAAGTGATATTTTTTTCTAAATATTCAATAATTTTCTGTTGAATAATTTCCTTATATTTTTTTGATTTTTCATAATTTTTTGGTATTTTTGTTGATATTTTGTTTTTATTTTTTTTTTTATATTTAATATTTTTATTTTCGTCAAATGAATATTTATCATGATTACTTTTCGTAAAATCTATATAATCAAATATACTATATTCACTGTTATCATTATTGTTGTTAATTTCACAAATATCATCTATTTCATCCTTGACACAATCACTATCATTCATATAAAATTCCTCAAGTTTATAATGATCGAAATTACTTAGCTTATTGGAATCTTTTAAATTAATATTTTCACTGTATAATGAAGAATAATTACATAAAAATTCTTCTTTACTTTTCATTTCCTCATTATTTTCATCTTTATGAATATATATATTATTATTATTTTCTTCAATTATACCATTATTACATTTTTTTCTACTGTTATCTTCATCATTATTAATCTCCATTCTCATATTTTTTTTAATGTTATTATTTAGACTATTGTCATATTTTAATTCATTTTCTTCATTAGAATATTTAAATTCTGATTTCAATGAATTATCATCACTACAATTATTTATCAAATCAAATATATCATCAAATATATTTATTCTTTTTTCAACTTTTGAATCATTTTTATTTATATTACTAAAATTTTTAATTTTGTTAATTATATTAGTAATACATTTCTCTATAAAAGGCAATAAATCACCGTTAATATAACTTTTTATATCCAATCTATTGCAAATATTAAATATAATTTTCGCCAAATGCTTGCAATAAATTTTTTTTTTAGAAATATTTTTTTTTAACTGGTGTTTTAACTCTTGTAATGTCATAATTTCACTATTTAAATTACAATATATAAAATTCAAACATAGTATTAAAACACATATTCTATTTTCTCCTTTTACTTTTATTCCTTTAATATTTTTTATTTTTTCATAATTATTGATATAATAATTATAATATTTTAAATCATTACGATTGCATATTTTTTTTATTATATTCACATATTTTTCCTTCTTGTAAGATAAAATAACATTACTTTTATCTACGTATGAGCATAATTTTTCTTCCTCTGAACTTCTACATTCTTTATAATTAGAATTTATTAAATTTATAAAATCATTATAATCATTTTTATCATTTTTATATATTTCAAACAAATCTTCCATATTCAATTAATCTATTTTAACTTAATCAATTTTTAATAAAATATTAAATCATTCATTAGAGACATTTTATTAGTTAATGTATCATTTTTTTTTTTTTTTTCCTTTAAAAAATATAAAAAGAAAATGAAAAAATAATTCCTCTTACTCTTATATGAAAACTTAATTTATTAAATATAAAAAAAAGAAAAAAAAAGATTAAAAGAAAATACTACTAATTTATTATAGTTAATCAGTTAATTATATATTTGTTTTTATGCCATACTTAAAAAAATTATAAAATTTAAAAGAACAAGTAGGTTTATTTTATTAAGATTATTTTAATTCCAAAAAAAATTCTTACATAATAAAACAGAATAAAAATAATAAAATATTTTTTTATGAAGAAAAATAAAAAATATATAAATATACCTATATTTTATAAATTTATATAAAAATATTTTAAGTTTATCCAAATAAATTCTCTTTTTAAATGGTTTAATTAAGCGTTATTTTTTTATCCTAAATTTAGGCATTTTTTATTTTAAAACTATTTCTATAATTTTATAAAGGGAATAGGTACAAAGATAGTATTTTACAAAAAAAAAGAAAAAAGAATTAAAAGTTTTTTTTTTTTTTTTTTTTTTTTTTTTGTTATTAATTGCTTAAAAAATAAACAGATGTAATACTAAAAAAGAAAAATGGAGGTGAGAAAATTAATATGGATTCCATAAATACAAAAATATAAAAAAAAAAAAATACGTAAGAGATAAGAATTACCTTTGAAAGCACATAAAAAAATTAAAATTAATTTGAAAATATAAAATATATGGTTTTAGTAGTAAAAGCTTAAGATATGATTGTATATAAATAGTTTTAAATGATAATAAAAAGAAAAGCTTATAAAAACATATTATTAAACAAAGTTATATTTATAAATCATTAAAAGGTAATTGCGATATATCACATGGTAAAGGATCATTAAAAAAGTATTTATGTTTTAACGCATCTTCTGCATTTATACGTTCATGACAATTTAATTTTAAGAAAGACATTAGTAAGTCAATACAATCATCATCTTCATTTTTAAAAATGGTTTTAAAATCTTTTTTGTTTGATTTTGTAAATTCAGTATATAAAGGAAGATAAGTAGATTCAGGCCAATTATTTTCATTAGGTGTACCTAAAAGAAAAAATATTTTTCCTAATTGATCAATTTCATTTTCTCCAGGAAATAATGGTTTCTGTAATAAGAGTTCAGCAAAAATGCATCCAAAACTCCACATGTCAATAGAAGAATTATATTTAGTACTACCTAATAATAATTCAGGAGCTCTATACCATAATGTCACTACTTTGTTTGTTAAATTTAAAGTTTTTTTATCCTTATCATCTTTTGTTAACATATCTGAATACATATCAAATCCATATTTGGATGATAAACCAAAATCTGCTATTTTTACTTCTCCTTTTTTATTTATAAATATATTAGCAGGTGATAGATCTCTATGCATAAAATAATAATTATGTAGAACTTTTAAACCATTTAAAATTTGTAATAAAATGCATTTCTTTTGACTATCATTTAAAAATATCTTACGATTGATTATTTTAGCTAAATCAAAATCCATTATTTCCATTACTAAATTAATATAATCCTTTTCACAATACAAATCTAGAGCTGTCATAATATTATTATGTTTTATTTCTTTCATTATTTTTATTTCTCTTAATAATACAAAGTTTATACCACATTCATCAATATAATTACTTATTTTATTGATTTTCATTTTTTTAATTGCTACTTCTTTTTTTAATATTGTATCAAAAGCCTTGTAAACTCTACCATATGACCCTTCTCCTAAAAAATTGGGTTTGAATATATATCTTTCTGCTGATATATTATCCATTAATAAAAAAAAAATAAATAAAATAACTTAAAAGAATTTTAAAATTCAATGGTAATCTGATTTATTATTTGCTTATTTTACAATTTCTTGCATATTTATTTTATTCTTTTCCATTAATAAGAAAATATATTTTTTTTATTTTATATTTATTATTATGCATATTTATTTATATATTTCTTATTATTATTGTTTATATATATATATATATAAATATACTCTATATTTATTAAATTTTTATTTAAAAGATTTTTAATTCACACAATATTATATTTTTTTTGAAAAATAAAAATTAAAATTATTTAAAAGTTCAATATATATATATATATATTTTCTCTTTTTATAATTTAATTTTACATAAAAAAAAATGAATTCAATTTTAATAATAAAATTAAAAAAAAAAATACACATACATATAAAAATGATAAAGAACAATAATTATTTTTAATTTTTTTATTTTTAAAAAATGTAAATTATATAACATTTTTAATTAAAAATATATATAGTTTATATAAATTTTAATTTTTAAAAAATGTTAATGAAAATTATTCTTATATATGAAAAAAATATTGCAATTTACAAAGAAATAAAAAAAAAAAAAAAAATTACATTATATATGTCCAGTTTTTTTTTTTTTTTTTTTTCAAAAAATAATAAAAAAAAAATTGACTGAAAAATTTAAAAAAAAATATATATATATATAACAAAATAAAACTTTTATATATGCTAATTTTATTGAAAAATAGATAATCTCTTATCTTCAGAAAATTTTCCATTTAAAGGGCATTTTTCATTATGTAATTTTGTATTTTCTTTAAAATACCTTCTCTTTATTTTGCGATGTTTAATTTTTATAATGTATCTTTTATATGGTTGGCAAACATAACAACAGTCATACTTTATACCTACATTTCCTTTTTTTTCTCGCAACAAATTTCTACATAAAATTAAATGTTTAACTATTATTTCTAAAGGAGAATATACAGGAACATTTAAACATATACCTAACAAAAAAAAAAAAAAAAAAAAATGAAATATATGTATAATTTATAAATATAAAACTGATTAAATACATATAAATAAGATAGATAAAAAAAAAAAAATAGTTTCATATAAGTTGGATATTAAATTTTATACTCCAAATTTTTATATTTAAAAAATATACTTAAAAGGTAAAAAAAAAAAAAAAAAAAAAAAAAAACTATATATTACTTAATATTGCTTCATTGACAGAATTATACGTTAATAAATTTCTATTTTTTGAAAAAAACATACAAACATGTTTCTCTTTATATGGTTTATTATATGCAATTAGAGAAGTAGTATCTAATATACATTGTCTAACATTAGCTAGTTTTGATTTGTTAAATAAAGATAGTTTCTCTTTTATCCACATTAAAGCTAAATATAAGTGATCTTTTTTATATTTTAATTGATTAGAGGGAAAAACTTCATTCTTATATAGATATTGATATATTTCATCAAAATTGATGTCATTATATTCATAATATTTTTCTTTAAAGTTAGAATCATTACTATCATAATCTGAAATGTTATCTCCATTTGAATCTGAAAAAATATTTTTTTCTTCTTTATATGTATTTTTATAAATTTTATTATTGAATTTATTATTATAAGGATTGTCATCATTAAAAAATTTATATTGTTCACGTAATTTATTATAATGAGTATTATATTCTTCTTGCAAATTATTTTTTTTTAAAAATTCTTCATCGAAATTGGAATTAATATTTTCATATATTATTTTTTCAATCTTTAATTCTTTTTTCTTTAATGAAATATCATTATCATATTTATCTAGATTTGTTTTCGTATTTTCACTTGTGTCTTCTTTTTGATAAACTATTTTATCATTTTGTGTTAAAACATTTTCATTATTTTTATTGGTAACTTTTCCTTTTGATTCACAAGTATCCAAAGATATGGATTTAACATCTTCTAAATAAGTGGTTAATGAGTTATTTATTACTTTATTATTTTTAAAACTCTTTTTGTCACTACAATATTTATTAGTTTTTTCCATTTTATCATCTATTTTATGCTTATCTCTCTTATATAATTCTTCTAATTTAAGTGTCTTAAAATTATTTTTCTCAACATTTGAGTTATCACAAAATAAGCTATCAGATGAATTATATTCCGTTTTAATATCATCATAATAGTGATTATCACTTAATGTATTATATGTTTTATAGCTACTATCACTTAATAAATCATCTTCACTATGTATTAATTTTTTACACCTTTTTTTTGAAGAAATTTTTTTTATAAATTTTTTATGTGGTTTTAGGATTTCTATTAATTGTTGCGTATATAACATAGCAATACTGAAGCTAGCATTTTCTTTTGTAAATAATTCTGAATATTTCTTTTCTAATATATTTAAAGCATTTATAATATTTCCATTAATAATGCTATTCCTTATCATATATCTTGTTTCTAAGGAGTCTATCATTTTATTTAGTTTATCATCAGATAAATATAAATTCACAAAATATTTTGTAATAAATTCATTATCTATGGAATAATTTTTTCCAATCTTTTTGTTTAATTTTTTTTTCTCATTTTTAAATATGCTAGTTTTTTCCTTAGGAATATACTGTATTTTTTTATTGGAATCATTATCACTTTTTTTTGACTCCTTTTTTGTGTTAATAATACTATATGTTAAATCACTATAATCATTTTTTGCTGTTAAACTTCTTTTATTTCTTAATCTATTCATTAATATAGAACTAGAATTTTTCCTCAAATTGATTAAATTACTTAAACTATTTTTTCTAGATCCCCATAATGAATTCTGTAGATTAATATTAGAGTAGTTGTATTGGATAAGATCATATCTTTTTAAAATATTAGAAGAATTTTCATCATATACATTTTTTTCTGTATCTTCTACATTTTTTTTTTCTTCTTTTTTGTTTTTATCTTTTTCATTATTAGTATCTTTTTCTTGTATCTCTTTTTTATTTTTTATATTACTTTCATCTTTTATATCTTTTTCATCATTTATATAATGTTCATCTTTTGCAATATTTGCATCATTTCTGTCTTCACTTTCTAACTCTTCTTTTATCTTCAATTTTTCATCACTTATATTTTTTTTTTCTTTTGAATTATCTTCTATACTTAAATCTTTTATTCCCTCCTTTATTACCTTAAGACATTTTTTTTCTTCCATATGATTATCCTTTTTTTTTTCATTAAAATCCGATTTTACTTTATCAATTTTTAGTTCCTCATTTTTTTCATCTATTTTCTTTATGTTACATGAGGAATTAGTTGCAGAACTAATTTTTATATAGTCTTTTATTTCATCATTTTTATTATTACATTCTTCTTTCTTCACATTTGTACTGTTATCTTTATTTAATTTATCATATACATCCAAATAATTAATTAAAAAAGAATTTAATAAATTTTTATCGTCTTTATTATTTTCCATTGTAATTTTATCAAAATTAAGAAAGTTTGTGTTTTTTTTTTCTGCATCTTCTATTGTTTCATTCATACTATTATTATTTTTTAAAGGAGAATCAATTACTTCCTTTTTTTCTTCTTTTTCGCATTTTTCTAAGCTTATAACATTATCTTCTTTATTAGAAATTATTTTTTTTAATTTAGAATTATTGTTATCATTACTTTCCTTTATATCAGTACTTATTACATTTTTTCTTTTCATATCTTCACAAGCATAAAACGCGTTAGAATCTGTGTTTTTTGTAATATTTTTATCGGCTTCATTTATTTCTTTTTTCTTATCTCTATCCTCTTTTTTAGTTTTATCGTTTGATGAAAAACATGACTTTTTTTCTAAAAATTTAGAATTTATATCTGTGGTAAAATTTTTATCTAATTCATTTTTATAATCTGACGAACTTCCGATACTATTATTATCATCAGATAATTTATTTTTTTCTAAATAATTTACAAAACATTTGTATGTTTTTAAGTAACCACATTTTATTAAATGAGACTTAATAATATCTGAAAACAAATCTTTTTGAATGTAGATGGATTTTATTACTTTTCTTTCTTTTTCATTTTCTTCATAAATTAAATTATAAATATCAAAACAAAAACTATTTAGATGAAATTTAATTTTATCTCCTAATGTACTCAAACCAACAGTAGCATAATAATCATATTTAGAGTTTATATTACATACTTTACCTAAATATTTTCCGTTTTTTGTAAAAAAGGCACTATTATCAAAATAATTAATACCACACCCAATGATATCATGTTTTGTGTATGCACTACAATAGTTTTCAATTTTTCCATCAATAATTTTTTTTCCATCATCATTCTTATATCCAAATGAATTATATTCCGAACCAGGATTTTTGTTAATAGAATAATTTTTACTTGTCATTCCAATAACAATTTTTGAAAAATTTGTACAATTTAAAACTTCAACTTCAAAATAATATATACTACAATCTCTTAAAGCACATTTATTAACTTGAACACATGCAACATCTGTATGTTTTCCCCATGCAGTGTAAGTAGCTGTTAACTTATCTTTACTAACAGATATGAAGTTTGAAGCATTTAATGTATTTATGTATACATTTCCTTTAAATAAATTTTTTAAATATATATAATTATGTTTAAATTTTTTTTTTTTTTTTTTAAGATATATATTTTTTTTTCCATTATAATAATTATCCTCTTTATATGATTTTTGTCCTCCTGGATCATTATCTTCATAAGCATATTCGTCTCTACTTCTTTTTTTTTTTTTTTTTCTCTTTTTATTTTTATTATCTAAACCTTTCTCTTCTTCCTTTTCGTTATATTTATATTCACTTTTGTTACTTAATTCTTCTGTTTCTTCTTCATATTCTCCTTCTTCATTTTCGTAATCACATTCTTCCTCATCATCATCCACCACATTTTCTTCCATATTTTCATCATCAATATCTTCATCTTCACTATTCATTTCATAATCTTCATATTCATCACTGCATTCTTCATCCTTAGAGACATTTATATCAGCGTCATCCTTTTCATTTTCTTCATCTTCCCCTTCTTCGTTTTTACATTCTTCCTCGTCTTCATTATCTTCGTCTTCATCTTCATCACTCTCTTCTTCCTCATCTCCATAATCATCGTCATCATCATCATCATCATCATCATCATCATCATCATCATTATCATTATCATCATCATCATCATTATCATCATCATCTTCTTCTTCTTCCTTTTCCTCTTTCTTTTTCTTTTTATTTTCTTCCTCTTCCTCTTCTTCTTCTTCTTCCTCTTCTTCATATTCATCATCCTCTTCTTCTTCTCCTTCTTCTTCTTCCTCTTCTTCATATTCATCATCTTCTTCTTCTTCTTCCTCTTCTTCATCATCATCTTCTCCTTCTTCTTCTTCTTCTTCTCCTTCTTCTTCTTCTTCCTCTTCTTCATATTCATCATCTTCTTCTTCTTCCTCTTCTTCATCTTCCTCTTCTTCCTCTTCCTCTTCCTCTTCCTCTTCTTCCTCTTCCTCTTCTACCTCTTCTTCATCTTCCTCATCTTCTTCTTCTTCCTCTTCTTCCTCTTCTTCTTCCTCTTCTTCCTCTTCTTCCTCTTCTTCATATTCATCATCTTCTTCTTCTCCTTCTTCTTCTTCTTCTTCTTCTTCATCTTCCTCTTCATCTTCGTCTTCATCATCATCTTCTTCTTCTTCATCTTCTTTTTCTTTTTCTTTCTGTTCCTCTTCCTCTTCTTCTTCTTCATCTTCTTCTTCTTCCTCTTCATCATCCGATTCGAAATCAGAATCAGAATCAGATCCAGAATCAGATCCAGATCCAGATCCAGATCCAGACCCAGAACCACTGATATTGTCTTTTTTCTTTCTTTCTTTTTCTTGACTTTTTTTTTGATTATTTATTTTTTTTTTCTTATTTTTTCTTCTATTTGAATGACTCTTTGATTTTTTTTTTTGAGACGATAAATTATTTGAACCACCTAATGAATATATTGTTGATTTACTTAGAGAATGGGAAGATTTACAATACTTATCTTCACATATATTTAAATCTAATATATAATTAATAAATAATAATGATAATAAATAATTGGAATAATAAATTTCTTTTGTATTAAATATTTTCTCATTTTTTATTATTACAATCTTTCCCTTTAAAATGATCTTTATTGTTTTGATCATTATATCTTTTTTTAACTTAATTTCACTTTTTACTTTTTTTTTATTTTTTTTTTTTGCTTTTCTATTCTTACAATAGGAAATTTCTTCCTTTTTATTTATGTAACTATCAACCTTATTATTTTTCACGTCATTATAGATGTTTTCGTAAGTATTTTCTTCAGTATTCAAAAAATAATTATTTTCTCCATTTTCCATATAATTAATTTCAACTGGATACATATAATTTTCATAATCATGTTTTACCTCTATTTTTTTTTCTTTTCTATTTTTATCATTATTATTATTTTTTTTTATTTTTTTTTTTGTATCAACAAAAGGAAATTCATATTGAATTTTCTTTTCTTTTATTTCAATGTCTTTTTGTAATTTTGATTCGCAATTAAAAAATAGATCACTTTCATTTTCCATGTGATATTTTTTTTCACTGTATTCACTTATTTTTCTATTTTTCTCTAGCACAATTTTATCTAAAAACTTATTTTTCCTTTCTTTCTTTTTACTAAAATAATTAAAATTAAAGAGAGTGAATTTTTTTATTTTTTCCAGTTCGTTATAATCTAATAAATTTTCCCTTTTCTTATGCCTTAATTTGAAAAATAAAAATTTACATTTCAAGAATTTTACTATTCTATATATAAAATGGCAAATAAGAAGTATAAAATGAATAAAATACGTAAAATACAAAAGATTAAATATACTTCTTATGTTATTTAAAATGTATAAAAACTCCCCATATTTTATTAATTCATCAAATGATAGAATCTTAGAAACATTTTCAAAAAACAATAAAAAAAAAGTATTATTATCACGAAATTTATATATCATAAAAAAAAAGAATTCCTTATATTTATCTACAAAAAATGAATTTGGATATTTTTTTCTATAAAGATATGATAAACTTACAAAAGGAAAAAAAAGGTTATTTTTTATGTTATTTTGGGTAAAATGTTCCTGCATTTTATGAATTTCTTTCATACGTAAAATATGATTTGTAATTTGAAAATTTGAATTATAAATGATATAATTTTTAAAAAAATTGAAAACTTCATTTTCTTCATTTAAAAAAATATTATGGATAATAGTAACATGTATTGTTCTATTATTAAAAATATATTCAATAATATTTTCGTTATAAGTTATCAATTTCACAAAAAAAATAAAAAATGTAAAGCTTTTCTTTAAAAAAGTAAAATTATTACTTTCTTTATATTTTTTTGAAAGTTTTCTATTTATATTTAAAATACTAAACAACAATAATTTGTTAGGAAGAAAATGTCTTCTGTAAATATATATATAAAACACTAAAAAAAAGTTTTCATCTATGATTAATGAATTCATTAAAACAACATTACTTAAATTATTAATTATATCCAAAAATGTTAACAATATTGTAATATTAACTTCATTCATATGCAGTTTTAATAAATTTTTAAATTCTGGAAAATTACTAACTTGAAATTTCTGAAAATTTAATACTCCTTTATAAAATGCATTTTTTTCTGTTGATTCATTTAGAATTTTATACAACAGATTTATTATCGTAATAATGCTTGAATTATAATTAATAATAAAAAATTCTTTTTCTCTTGAATATGTATAATTATCAAGATAATTTTTGTTGTTCCACCTACTTGTATTTATGAATTTTTTATAAAAACTAGAAACTAAAAAGAAAAATTGTTTTAATATATATAAAAAAATTTTATTTTTCTGAATTATATCAAATAATATATTGAAATTATTTAATTCTAAAATACACTTATCAAGGAAATGGTTCTTTAATTTTTTCTTTTTATTAATTTTTATACTGATCAAACTAGAGATATATTCTTTTATAATATAAAAAAATAGTAACAAATTTTTTTTGTAATTATTGTCTTTACGACTAAAAAAAATGAAATATTTTTGCGAAAATAAGGATGTTATCCATTTTTGTTCATAACTGTTTTTAAAAATTGAAAAGAAAATTTGAAAATGTTTATTTAATTTTGAATGAATGTAATTTAATGAGAATGTAAGTAATCTTAAAAATAAAATTTTCATTTTTTCTGAAAATATAATTTTATAATAAATATAAAAATTTTGTTTCCATTTAAAATTTTTTTCGAACTCACTCATATTTTTATTTCCCTTAAACAAAATTAAATACAATTTTTTTTTTAACGTTTTTTCCTTATTATTCAAAATTTTTTTTTTTATATTTTTCATAGTACATATTTTTTTCCATTTTAAATTGTCTATATTTTTTTTTTTTTGTAAATGATTTATTTTTAGATAATCACTTTTAAGTATTTTATATATTCTCTTTTTTTTTAAGAAATTAAATTCTAAACGTGATTTTCTTTTTATGTTGTATATTTTAGTGATATATTTTTTTTTTTGTTCATTTCTATATGTACATTTTTCTTCTACATTTTCTTCATATTTCTTGTTTTGTTCTAAACAAATATAAGATTCATATATATTATTAACTAACAAGAAAATAACTTTTTTATAATTTATATGACTGTGCTTTATCAAATAATCAATCAATATATTTAATTTTCCATTAATGATTAGATAGTCGTCTATATTTTTCTCATTTTCATGTGTTATATTAAAACGATTAATCATTTCCATGACTGTATTACAAAAAAAAAAGTAAAAAGAAAAAGTAATATAATAAAACAATAATGAATTAAAAAAAAAAAAAAAAATTGTAGATTAAATAAACAATATATTTTGGAAAGGATAATATTAGTAATTAAAAGAATTACAAAAGCCTTAATAGTTATAAATAAGAAAAAACATATATATACTTTTTTTTTTTTTTTTTTTTTTTTTTTTTTAACTTCTATTTTGTTTTATATGTTTTTTTTTAAAAGCATTTATTACTATAATGGAAATTAATTTCTATGCAATTTATGAATAAAGATATGCAAGTCTACAAATTGAAACAAAAAAATTATTTTTTGTCTTATCGTAATTTTATTTTATTTCATCATCTATTTTTCTTTTTTTTTTTTTTTTTTTTTTTTTTTTTTTTTTTTTTACACAATCTTTTATATATTAATTTATATATATACCATATATTCATATATAACTTTATAGTTTATCTTCAGCATATACTATTTATAGGGATAACGAAAAAGAATATGAATATATAATCAAAAATATAAAAAATGTTGAATAAAAATACATACAAGGTTCAAAATATTTTATAACTTATTATGTATAATATTTTAATTACTAATTTAATACGTACTAAAGAAAGAAACTGGAGTAAAAACATTAATTACACACATAATAAAATTGCAAGTTCTAACCTTTAAAAATGGCTTATGCTTATTTCACAACTAAGATATATAAAAAAAAAAAAAAATAAATAAAAACAATTTAGAATACATTAAAAATATAAAAAATTAAGAAAAAAAAAAAAAAAGTTTTGTAAAATTGTAATTTAAAATTATTGAGATCTATTTGAAATTACATATTATTTTTTCAACTCAAAAAAAAAAAAAAAATTAGGAGTCAGAATTAACTCATTATTGGTCAAATTATACTTAAGAAAAAATTCAGATGAGAAAAGGAAATAATAAAAAAAGTAAAATTCATATAAGATGTATTTGTTTATATAATTGTATAATAATAATAAAAAAAAAAAAAAAAAAAAAAAAAAAAAACAATTATGAAATTTATTGATTGATAATATTTATATTTTCATATACATGAATATGCATGAAAAAAAAATAAATGTTCATATATTTACACCTTTTATTAATAGAATTAAATTAAAAAAATGATAATATAGATAAAAGTGTAACAAAAAAAAAAAAAAAAATAAATAAATAAATAAAGATAAGATACGATAAAATAAAAGCAAATAGTATAAAGGGATATGTTTCTCATTAGCCTAATTTAATAAGAAAAAGTTTAACTGTATAAAATTTATTAGAATATTTTTTTATTGTAATTTTTAATTTAATATATTTTTTAATTTTTTTATGATAAAAAAGTAATTTTATAATTATATTTTGTGTGCAAAAAAAAAAAAAAAAAAAAAAAAAAAAAATACTTGTGTATAAAAATGTTATAGTATTATATATCATTTTTTTAAATAATATTTAAGCAGACATAGATTACATCTGAAAAAAAAAATAAAAATAAAATATATGAGGTTATTATGAAATGATTTGAAAAAATTTATGTCAATGTATGAAAATATATAAATTTATTTTAAAGGTTCTCAAAATAAAAAAAAATCCTTACAAGAATAAAATAAAAATATTTGTCATTCTTAAAATTATAAATAACATTTCAAACAATTATAATTTAATATTTTATAAGAACATTATATTAAAAAAAAACATATACTAGAAAAATAGTAAAAGGATATATTTACATCTTTTTTTTATAATATATAATTTATAATTAAATTCTTTGTTTTACTTTTTTAAGTATATCTAAAATGTATATAAATTCACGAAACAGTGTATAATAAAATTATTAATTTTTAAATAAAAAATATCGTAATAAATATTAAATATATGAAGCACTCAAAATCATAAAAAAAATTTAAAAGCACAATATTATATAATAAGTATCTCTCTTAAAATTAATTGTTTTTGTTTGCTTAAATGCTATTCCTATATAGTATATATATTAAATTTAAAGCATATATTAAAAAATAAAAATAAAGTAATCATTATAATAACAGAGTTCTTGTGAAAAATTAATTAAACTGCATAAAAATGTAAAATTAATGAAACGATAATTATTTAATAGTAAAATACACAAAAATAAAAAAATATTAAAAATGTTATATTAATATTATAAGAGCTATATAGTTATATTAAACTAATAAAAGTATTATAATAATATCATAGAAATAAATGAGGAATCATAAAAAATTTATATGAACACAAAAATACTAATAAATATAATTATAATGATATAAAGAAAAGATAAAATTTGTCTAATTATATTATATTAAGGAAATTAAAATATGAACGTTGTCTATCTTTAATATTTGAAAAACAAATTAAACTATATATTCTTTATTTTATTAGAATTAAAAAATATAAACTTTTTAAAATGAAAAAAATATTTCTTCATTTAATTTTTTATCAAAATTTATAAATGAATAAGACTAAATTATATTTAATGTATATATATTAAAAAAAAAAAATTTTAAGAACATATATATTCATTTATAATATAAAAATAAAAAATAAAAGCAAAATAAAATATTTTAGTTCCCAAAGGACAATCTTTTAATAAATATATATAATCCTTTTATTTTTTTTTTTTTGTATTTTTGAAAAATTGCAATAAAAACAGAATATTTAATATATAAATTTTTTTTTGAAGCCAAAAAAAAAAAAAATAACTACTAAAGAATTATGCAAAATTTCATAGTGTAATAACTATTTTTTGTAGCAAATATAAAATTAAATAAAGTTTCATTGTAATTTAAAGAAAAATATACATGTTGAAATAATTTCATTGATTTACTTAAAACTATATTTTTCCTATATATATATCAGAGTAAAAAGAAAAATATAGCAAAATAAAAAAAAAGTTCCATATGATATGTAATTTAAAATGTATATGTGGTTGATTTTTATTCTAGAATTTATAATTGTAACATGAGGTAAAGATTTATATAACTTTTAAGTAATTATAAGTTATTTTTTTCATCTTATACTATAAATAAGAGTTTTTTTTTTTTTTTTTTTTTTTATTTAACAAATTTAATTTAAATAATATAAAAGAATAAAAATTAATGAAGATTAAATAATATAAAATGAAACATTTAGAAGAGATACAGAGTGATTAATAATTATAATAATAAAAGACAAATTCTTAATAAAAAAAAAAAAAAAATAAATTCTATAAAATGATAATAAGAAAATTATTTTCAATAAAATTACAAACGATAAATTTTCCTAGATATTAAAAAAATAAAGATATAAAATTGAAATTATTTCTTTTAAATGTTTATATTTTTTTTTTTGTATTTTCTAAGATGAATAATCTGACATTTCATTATATTTATTTTTTTTTTTATACGCATTTCTACTTTTATATTTTTTTGTATTCTTTTTGTATCTTGAAGAATTATGCTTATATGAATTAGAGGAAATATCTGATTCATTTAGACTAATGGATTCAATAGAAGGGGTTGAGTACGTAATGGTACTTTCTAATGATGTACCACTATATTGACTAAGATAACTTATTTTTCTTTCTTTTTTTTTTTTTCCTTTGTGTCTTTTATGTTTCATTGATCTTCCTCTTTTTAATGAATACTTTTTTACACTTTCAGTACTAGAAGAACTACTAGTATCATTTGAAGAAGACGAAAAACTTTTTTTTTTTTTTCTGTGTTTTTCATATTTATTGTATTTATGAATATTTCTGTATTTTTGTGTATTTTCATTTTTTCTAGTAGTGCAAAAAGAGCATATTTTTATTGGCAAAAATAAACATTTAAAAAAATATTTAATAATGAATGGAAGAAGAGGTATTAGAGATGGTGCAATAATAATTAAAATACCTAATGTCACAAATTTTCCAATGAATTCTTTTAGTAAATTTGAATAATAGGAAGAACATTTTTTAAAATTAAATAAATAGCATAATAAATCAACCGAACATTGACATGTATCTTTGACAGGAGGAACTGTATCAGTACTATCACTTTCGTATTTAGTAAAAGTTGTTTCTATTTTTTCTTCTTCTATATTGGATTCAATAACATGTTTCGTCTCTTTTGATGTTAATTCAAATTCTTCTTTAAAACACTCTCTTCCATTTGCATCTTTTACAATTGCTTTACAAGTTGTTCTGATTTGTTTATTTATTAAAAATCTAATAATAAAATGAAAAGCATAATTTTTATCAGCATCAATATATGCATTCACTTTATCAATAGGACTAACATGGCTAGCTAATTTTTCACTTCCCTGTTCGGTACATACCACATGACATGAAAAGTTGGCACCGTTTTTTTTATTATTATTCCATACATGAACAATTAATGTACAACCTTTGGAGTCAGACTGATTAGAAGAACAATTTTTCGGTGTAGTAATGTGTGTAATGGTAGCAGTTGATATTGGTCGTATTTCATAAACTTCTAGAGCATTTGTTTCAAACTTTATTTCTACTGAATGATTTCCATTATATTTATAATCAATAAATTGGCTATGTGCTGCTGAATATTCATTATAAAAAACTTTATTATCAAGATCTTTTATATCTATATCATTTTTATTATTTATTTTATCTTTCAAATAGTTAGGTAAATTAACTGAATTGTAAATTTTGGTTTGTGCTTCTGAAGCATAGGTATTTTTAATTTTATATTTCGATGCAGAATTTCTACCAATAGACGTTGTATGTTCATTATAATACTTAAAAAGACTAGCTGATAAACAATATCCTGTAGAAGAACCGCAGAAATTTCCTCCTCCATCTCTCCATTTGTTTAAGGATACTCCTAATTTATTGCATGTTTTTCCACTTAAATCAAAGAGATGTTTTGGCAACATTAATGCTTTTCTTAAACAAGGATGAATAACATTGCACATTTCATTATAGTCACATCCTTTTAGTAGAGGAGAATCTTCTTTTAAACCACAATTTCTTGTAACATCACTTGATATTACATCTGAGTTATTTTTAGGTGAAGATGGAATTAAAATATAGTCATTTGATAAATTAACTAAGCTTCTTTTTCCATGAGATTCACTTCTTAAAAATATCCAAACGTCAAAGTAATCATCTCTAATTTCAGTCATAGCATCATTTAATTGATATTTTTTTTCTTTAGTAACTAAATCATTTTTATTATTCAAAACACTAGTTACATCATCGTACGAATATTCTTGCAATGTTATATCAACATAAGTGTTAAATATAGGAGGATAATCTATATCATAAACGGAAAAATAAAATAAATCCATTATTGCACAATGTCTGCTATAAACTATAGCAGAATCAGTAAATAACATATTGAAATAATTACATTTTAATTTTGCTCTTTTTATAAAATTATCATTTTTAAAAAGATTAAAAGATGGACATTTGCATGATTCTCCTCTCATATACTCAAGAAAATAAGATGGGAAATTTCCAACATTCTTTTTTATATCTTCAATTCTACGGATATTACATTTATAAGTATATTCTTCTATTTCTTTTGCAGAATACTTTTCATATTTATGATTATTAAATAAGTCTACTACTTCTCTATATTTTAAAGGAATATCCTTTATATATTTTAGATAGTAAGAAATTACAACATAATCTCTTCTAATAGTTAAAAAATACCCTTTTCCCTCAGGTCTCAATATTTTCAATCTTAATACCTTCAAAAATAAAAAAATAAAATAATAAGAAAATATTTGTAAATAATTTTTATTGTATTTGAGAAAAAAAATATTTCCCATCTACATTCCTAATAAAAATATTTTATGAAAAATAAATAAATCAAATATATATATATATATATATATATATATATATATATATATATATATATATATATATATATATATATATATTTTTATGTACTAACAGAATTATTAGAAACATCTAATTGTCCAAAAACAACAGTGCGACATGTTGAATCATCTGCTGAAGAAGTACACACCTTCTTTTTAGAATAAGAATATACTAATCTAATGAAAGAAACATATTTTCTAATACTATTTTCTGATATATAATTTTTAAATATGAAATAATACAAAAAAAAAATTAAAAGTTTTATTTTATATTTAATTTTCATCTTGTCTTTTTTTTCGTTTTGTTTCCTGTGAAAATTAAAATTTTTATATATAATCTTCCTATATTTAAAATTTTTTTTTTTTTTCTCTCTCTCTTTCTCTTGCTATCTCTCTCTTTTCAAAAACTTGATTGAAAGATTTAAAAAACCTTAAGATAATTTATTTAAAAATTATAATTTAGTTTATTAACTAATTGAAATAAAATTCTTTGAATTATTCATTTTTATTTATTAATTTTTTATCTTTCCTTTTTTATTTTTCTATTTGCTAAATCACTCTTTAGTATGCCTGTGATTTTTATTTTTATTTTTTTTTTTTTTTTATAATTATTATCTATATGTTAAATATTTCATATTATTTTATTTAAATTTTCCTCATTTTAGATTTTAATTCTCTATATCTCTATGTATTCCTATTTAAAATATTACAAATAATAAAGTTTAAAATAATACTTTTTAAAAAAGTGTAGATAATAATACAGTGCAAATAAAAATGAGGAAATTTAATTTGTATATAATATATATGTTATATTTTTATTCCTATGATACTATTATATAATTATGTAGAGAAGAAATTAAAATTTTTTCTTTTGTTTTTCTTTGTATTAATGCACTTATTATATATATATATTTAACATAATTTAGAATTTGAGTTAATTTTTTTATCTTCACCTAAAACTTATTTTTATCAAATATTTAAATATAAAAAATTCTAATTAACATTATCAAAAAAAATTAATAAAATATATTATTTTTACATGTTTTACTTTTTTTCAAATAAAAAAAATATAGACAAATATTTACATTGTAGAAAATGCTAAGTAAAAAAAATACAAATTATTTTTACATAATATTCCTTTATTAATGTAAAAATACATAGCAAATATTATTTTTTTTAATTAAAAAGAATTACTTAAAATCATTAATATATTCCAAAAGTACGATATAATTTGTATCTGATGTTTTAAGAAAGATAAAAATATACGTTATTCTTTGGTATTTATATATAACCTTGATATAAATAATAAATGTTATCTAAAAAATTTTTAAGATTTAGAGTATTAATAATATTATATAAGAAAACGGAAACTATAAGTAAAAAAGAAACCGGAGTTATATATATATTTATTTTTATAAATAAAATAAGATTTCAAAAAAAAAAAAAAAAATAGATATTAAAAACTTAATAAATGTTTCGTTCTTATTTCTACATGAGCAAACACTAATGTATTTAAAGGATACACAGAATTATTTTTTTATTTAATAAAATTATGTTCAATTCTTTTAAGGTTTAGATTTATCTATTTAAAGATGATGTCAATAATTTTAAAAAAATTTAATACTTAACTAAAACGATAAAAGTTTATAGAACAAATATACCTTTTTGAAAATTCTTAACATTCTGCAGTTTAATAAAAAAAATGCAGATATATTCATATATATTTAAAAAATAATTTTAAAAAAATATATTTATGTATTATATGTTATTCCTATTATCATGCTTTATCAATTTTATATACTAATTTACATTTTTTTTTTTTTTTTTTTATTATGCATTGGTAATACTAAAGATTTTACATAGTTTATTATAATTTCATACATTTTCATAATTCTTATTACTAGACAATTTTCCTAGTGTCAAAGAAATTGTAAAATAACTTATCTAATTTTAAAAGAAAATTTATTTTACTTTATTATGTTTTTATATTTTATTCATTTCAATGAATGATCATCTTTATTTATTTTTTTATGAAAATATTTATAAAGTAGTTTATTCTTTAAATTTTTATTTATAATCTTAATATATAATTTTCTATACATATATATATATTTATATATATATTTTAATTCTTTCATTATTAGATGTTTTGCTTCATTTTCTCAACTAATATTTCTTCATTTTCTTTTTTTTCCTATTTATTATCATATCATTTATAATCTATTTTATTACTTTTTGTCATTTTTTTTTTTTTTTTTTTTTTTTTTTTTTTTTTTTTTTTTTTTTTTTTTTTATCATTAGTTTGTATCTTTATATACATGTTATCTTGTGAATAGTTTTTTAAACTTTAATATAAGGAGGGCATTTGACCATGAATATGATTTTCATTTGGTATATAATTAAAGAAAAGATAATTTATTTCATCATCTAGTACAATAAATGTATTAATTGGTAAATATTTCCCCTTATATGAAAAAAATTGTTGTTGTCCTCTAATATCTAATAAAACTTCCATTATACATTTTAAAAAGGCAATGTTAAAAACGTTAACTGTTGTATTAATAATAATATTTGCCATTGAAGGATTATCACTATATATGATTAATTTATATACTTTTAGATTTTCAGTATATTCAGATACATTATTGTTAAGTTGACCATGATGACCTTCCAAAGCACTAGAAACTCTTTTATATTCATAATACACATATCTTTCCAATGGAATTCTACTGTATTTGGTTATATAACCATTTTGTATAATTTTCAAATGGGTTTCACTATCTTTTCGTTTTCTATTGTAAATCATGAATCCGTAAGGTATAGCCCAAGTTTCATTAATTAATTTTTCTTGTAATACTTCTTCCATATATATCAAATAAATTTTATAAAGATCATTTTCATCTAATATAAAATTATTATATGGTAAGTTATTTAGAGTTATGTCATTTTTAGTATCAAACAAATTAGAGCTTGAAATACCTGATAACTCATTTGCATATATTTTTTTTTTCTCATAAATTTCTCCAGTAGATGCAATTCTTTTTTCTAAGAATATATGAGTACTTGTTTTATTTTCTAAAAATTCATCCATTCTTTTATTTATGTTATTTTCTTCGTATTTATAAATGTCACATAAATCTTCTATATACATAAGTAACGACACTTTTTCTAATAAAAATACAAAATACTCCATATCCATTTCATGTTTAACATTTGTATCACTAGTAAAATAATAAGTAATCTTGTTATTACTATAATTTTCTTCAAATATAATATCTTCATCATAATTCATGTTTTTTAATAACCTATTAATATAGTCTATATTTAAGCAGTAGGTATATACTTTCCATACGTGCATATTTTTAAAAAAAAAAATTAAGTACTTTGAATTTATTACTCTTTTTGAAGTATTATTTTCATCTGAAACGTTATTTTTCAATGTAGGTGCATTTTTCAAATTAATAGTATCCTCATTTTTATTATTTATTTCCTCATCTATATTATTATTTGATATTTTTATTTCATCTTCTTCCATATTTAAAACATATTTATCGTTAATATATTCTCTCAATTTATTTTCGTCTACTTTAGGTTCCTTAATATCAAACATATCTGTGTATAGTCTTTTCTTATTATAAAAGTCTTCATGATTTGGTGGTTTTTCTAGAGGTATCCATTCATTATCATCTTGTGTCTCATGAAAGGATAGAATATCATTTTTCCTGTCTTTATTATAAGTATACATTGATTTTAAGTTATCATAATTAAAACCTCTTAATTTTTTGTATAAATTATTTAAACCACTTAATTTATGAGGAGTAGGTATTCCTAACATTTGCATATCATGATCATCTTTTCCTAAATTACTATATGTAGTAAAGAATTGGTCTCCTATTCTATATGAATTAATATAGAAAATTTTAGATTTTATTTCATCATTAATAATTTTTGTAACATCAGCCATTTCATTTATATTTATTAAGGTACCATTGTAGTAAAAGTTAATGACATCTATGTCGGGGAATCTAAAATCATCAGTAGCGTATCCTTTATTTTCTAATTTATCAATAGGTGGGAAATATTGATTATTGTGATAATTAGCTGAGTTGCGATAACCTTCTTCTCCATAATATATAGGATTAACTGTTTGTTTATTTTCATTGTTTTTTATTTTAGTTAATTTGTCTTGAAAAACTTTCAATCGCTTTAATGCAAAAGAAGGAGAAAATTCTTTTATATAATTAAGTTTTTCTATTTTTGTGAAGTAAGCTTTTAAAATTCTTTTATATTGTTTACAGTAAGAAATAATTCTGTCAGAATAATGTTTGCATGGGCAATTTAAAGCTATAGTTTCTCCATTTATATTTAATAAAGCAAGTATTTTTGCAAATTGTGCCAAATTAATTTCATTGGAATTATTTGTTTTTATAGTCATACTTTCATCTGTATAAGTGAAATTCATCTTCTTATATAAAAACAAATCAAAATTAGATACTTCTACAGCGTCTGTTATATCCATACAATAAGAGGCACAAATATTTTCCTTGAATTTTTGAACAAAAATTACTGTTTCAAATATATTAAATATTTTCAATTCATCCATTATTTTAAATAAATCTTGAAGATTTTTTTTTAATGAATTTTCTCTAAAATCAAAAAAATTTAAAAATCCATTTGATCCATTTTGACCTATTTTTGCAAACATTGTGTTTTTAATTTGTTTTAAATCTTCTTCATTTTCAATGTCCTTTTTATTTTTTATTTTAATATTTTTTATTTTTTTTTGTTTCATTATTGGATAATTTCTGCTATTTTTCAAACTAATAATTCCATTTTGGTTTTCATTATTATTTTCTTTTAAATCAAAAAACAAAAAATCTCTTCTGTCAGGAATTAAGATAAATCTTAAAATATTTAATACATATTTAAAAAAAGCTATTATTTTCTTTTTTCTCTTAGAATTCTTATTAGGAACTTTTTTACTAGGAATATCTTTATTTTTTAAAATATTCATATATTTCTCAATATCATAATCTTCTAAAAAATTTTTTTTATCTATTGGGATTTTTCTTGATTCATTAGATAATCTAAACCTAAGATATGGATTGTATAAAGAACTTAAGACTTCAGAGAGTACTTCGTCATGAATTTCTTGTTCGTCTATTTCATTCAAATGTTCATTATCAGAATCATCAACTTGTTCATTTTCTTGAGACCCTTTTTTACCGTTATATTCTCTATGAGTATGTTCAGATTCTTTTTGTTTTATCTGTTTTTTATTTTCATTTTTCTCATATTGATTGATTCCTGGATATTGTTTTTCCGTGTTCTCATTTTGTTCTATAGTTTTTTCTTCATTCAATTCATCTTCATCATCATGTTCATTATAGAAATATGCTTCTTCTTTTTCGTCTACTTCTTTATTCTCTTCTTCTTCTTCATATTCATTAAGATCAACTTCATCATATGTTTCATTAACTTTTTTTTCCTTTTCTTCTATATGTAATCTATTATATTCATTAAAATCTTTACGTTTAGGTAATACTTTAGCAGGATATGGATTCATAAAATTACCATAATTTGTAATTAAATTTATAATAAAATCACCATTAGAATTATTTAAATTATTATTTTTTAAATCAAACAAATATTTAAGTAATTGTCCTATATATTCTAAACTCTCGTTCTGATGAAGAATTTTTTTTTCATTTTCATGTGGTTTTTCATCTATAGCTTTATCATATTGAGGAAATATTATATGACTGCTGAATATAAAATTAATTAAATTATGAGCTTTTTCTTTAATAGCATTAAAATGGTTATTTATATTTTCTTCATTTAATAAATCTGTATCAACATAAAATTCATTAAATATTCCAGATAAATGTAGTATTCTTTTTTCTTCTTCGTAAATTTTAGCAGGAATATCATAGAACTTGAAAAAGGATTGTAAAAACTTTTCAAATTTATCATAATCATTTGGATATAATTGCAAATTTTTTATATTTTGAATTTCACTCTTTAAATCATCGTGAGTTTTTAACTCTTTTTTATCCACGAATGTCTTTTTTAATAAAGCTAACAAAATTGCTTTTTCATTTTTTTCTTCATTTAATAGTGCATTATGTTCATCAAAAAATAAGAACAAAGATACAATTGTAAAAAAAGGAAAAAAAAATTTTTTCCACATTATTGTTATTGATTTAAGAAAAAAAAATTACTTATTGAAAAGTATAAAAGAAAGTATTTAATAAAAAGAAAATAGACAATTTAATTATGTATGCATATTACCTAAGTAATAAGCGTCACAATTATACATTTAACTGTTAAAAAAAAAAAAAAAAAAAAAGTGAAGATTATTTTATTTAGTCACTTTTATTTTTAAAAATAAATTTTTCTATTAAAATAAAGTAATTAAAATGAAAATATTATTATTAATATTTATTACTAACAAGGGAATAAATTATTGCAAATTGTTAAACAATAAAATATAAATTAAAGAAAGAGAAAGCAAAAAAAAAAAAAAAAAAAAAAAAAGTTTAACCTGCATTGCTATATTTCATTGATATTTTAATCAGCATTATTATACTATCAACAGTATATATATTTATTTAAAATATATTCAAATTATTTTCATTGGACAAATTATACTCTGAAGAATAAATAATTTTGAGAGTTGTAAATTTCTAAAAAAAAAAAAAAATTATAGAAATTTACTTTTTTATAAAATATTACATTCTACATATACATATAAAAATTACATAATCTTTCTTTTTTTTTTTTTTTTTAGTATTAATTTAGCATGTTTGATATTTGTATTTTTCTCTTTTTTTTACATCTTTATAAATTAAACCAAAACAATTTAATTTTTAGAATTGTGCTAAACATAATAAAATGAAACTTTTTATTTTTAATATGATAGAACCGATAAAATTTTCTTTTTTTCATTATTGTTAGGGAAGAAACAAATTTTTTAAATTTTGGATCCGAGAAAATTTTTTTTTTTTAATTTTTTATTTTATAGGAAAATTTTTTTTATATATTTCTAATTCTTAATTGAAACCGAAGAAAGTTTTCTTTTATTTTTTAAACACGGTAAATTTTTAATGTTAATTTATATCCGAGAAAATAAAATTTATTATTATTGTTGTTAAAGAAAATTTTTATTTTTTATATTTAATTTGTATCCGAAGAAAAATTTATTGTTTTTGTTTTAACATTTAGACAAAAAAAAAAAAA